GTATGTGCAATGTAGGCCAATGTGTAAGCAATGGAATAGCAGGTTTCCATCTTATCATTCAGTAAATCATATTTTTCAAAGACAGTTTTTTAAGTTAGCATTCTGTCTACCTTACATTGCAAGGACTTGCAGACATGGAGAAAGCAATGAGACACACATTGTCATTGTCACTTCTTTGATCTATACCATGCACCGCAGTAGCTGACAGTATGTGTTATGTAAAGTGTTCTTTTCTAGCCAGCTTGTATAAAGTGGCTCAAGTTAGATGTACAGTATTTGTTTATTTCCTGGGTCAGATTGCCAAAACAATCACAGCTGATTGACAGGTTAGATAGGATTGCTTATTACAATCTAATCCGTATGCCTAATAGGAGCAGGACATGATGATTAAGCCTAGATGGAGTATCGACTAGAGAGACAGGTGACACCCACCCACTCCCTCACAGACACACAAACAGCCTTTGTGTATCAAGTGTTGTAGGTAAAGCAAAGAGATAATCCAAAGATCATCACCCGCTCCTGTCATCCTCTTTTCGTCTCTCCTTTCCTGTGCTTTCCCCTCCCCTAAAGTAATATGCACTCCCCTACAGTTGCATCAACCAGCCCCTCCTCCGCTGGCCCTGCATTGCCTCTGGGCTAATTCTCAAGATCTACAACGAGGCAGCTATAAATCACTGCGTCAGTTTTCTTCCTCTTTTCCACAGTAGCCAAGTCAGATATCGTAAACACAGACAACACTTTTCTATGCTGTCTCTCTCTCCCCCTCTCTCTCTCTTGTCTTTGCTACACGATGTCATAACCCCAGGTACTGATGAGAAGGAACAGGAAGAAATCACAAAATGAGTAAAATTAGTCTGGATATTAGAGTGGTCCTTTGTGGCCTGCTCCAATTTGTGTCATGGTTATATTGATTGAAACAATATCCATACATTTTAAATAGTAAATATCATATGTTGCATTAATTTTGTCCGACACTTTTAAAACAAATTTAAATTTGAAATGCAATGTAGCATTTCCATTAAATTAAGTTCAATTTGGTGATCATTTGCAATTTGTTTTCTTTTTCTCCTCTTGTACAAAATGTTCTCAACTAGTGTTTCCCCCAGCTCTTCTGTCATGTGGATCATCACTCCACATGTTATACAGTACTGACAGACCACTTCTAACATAGCAAGAGCAGACAGATTCCTCATTTCCTATTACCTGTTAAGGGTCTGGATTGCACCTGTTTGCCTTTCAACTACACGCCAAAAGAATATCTGACATTTCCCCCACACACAAAGTACTCATCACCTGGAGTTATGTTCTTTTGTTGAGGTTTTAGGAGCCTGCAATATTTTTTAAAGACCTGCCCAGTCAGAGCACAGGGTGTGCAGTATGCCTTGAGTGTTTAATGGATAAATCCACTCTTAAACAGAACTCACAGATGTTATTGCTCTGATGTTGAATCGGCCTATATGTTCATTTTAAATGGTGTGGTATTCCTCTTTAAATCTAAAAAGCTGTTGCAGGCCTTGTCATTGGTTAACATGTCTGACTTTAGCTGAGTAGCAACAAGTTGAAAACCTTACTGGCTGTGTCTGACAGAACAAATCAAATGTATAGGATGCAGCATTATCCATTTATAGTGACACTGCATTAGAAATAATGGTAAACATTTAAGTTTTTCTAAGCCCATTAGTTACTGTTGCTATGCCTGTCAAATGTTCTGTTCTCGCTCAACACCTATGCAGTTTATAATTATAACAGTGGCAGAATTTGTAGTACTTATTGAAACAAATATGTCCCTTATTTTTAGATAAAAGTTGACAACAGAGTTCTCAAGACAATCAATTTTGTGGGCTGGAATGACAACTCTTGCTGGCAGGACAATAAGACACGAGGCATTGAAAATTGGGACTCTCGGGAGAATCTGTTGCTTTCTGTGATTTGATTTTCAAAGGGCTTTGCTAAGCAGGGAAGACAATTAAATGGGTGTCTTTAATTTAATGGCTTATATGGGAACACAATCCTTATTAGCTTGTTTTTATGTCCATACTTAACTTTTACATTTTAAAATGGTAAAAGACATGAATTAATCAGTGACAGAGGTTAATTCAAACTTGCTGTTGTTGGCGCCGATTCATTTTAAAAAGGTTTCTATCACAAAATTCTACCAGTAATGTTACCACTCTGGTCACAAACTGTCTGCTCCAGAGTGGGTCCACTTGGACTTGTGGCGTGAGAGTGAGTGAAAAACATGAATTGTGTGAGTCTCACGGTCATTGCAGAAGATTTGGCAGTCTTGTGAATCGATTCCTCACACTTTTGGTCTTGTGTTTTGGGTTTTGGAAATGCGAACAAAGACAAGACACCACCCTCTAAATGTACTAAATGTACTACTGTAAAGCAATGGTTTTGTGGGCGTCACAATTTTAGTGAGAACAAAATTTATCTCCAAATGCTGTTTCTGCCTTAGGGTAATATTTACTCTTATGTAAACTACTCTGCTTTAGTACATATAAAATGTTTGAGACATGCTGCTGTGGTTTCTAATCTCCCAGAACAATTTTTTATTTGTTTTATTTTTATTTTTTCCGCTGCAACAATATGACTAAATACCATTAGAAATAACACTTTTGAGCTGTTTTTGTTGTTTTCCAGTCCTTTGAAACCCCCATCTTGCTGCAAATGTACTTTCAAACAGTAGCAATGTGGATGCAATTATGACTCCTAGGTCAGTTTGTCTCTTTAAGGTTTAAGTGGGTTGGAGAGTTCCATGATTACAGACTTTACAGTGTGTTTAAGGCCAGCACATTTGTGATTCTGGGGTAGCCTCTGCCCCTGTGTAAAAAATGATCCAAACACTGCAATCTGAACTCAGGGCAAGTGCTGTTTGAGCTGTTATAATGTTGTTTATTATAAAGCCTTTCAGCCTCTAGGATCTCCAGTGATCACAGCTTCTTTCAACGCTCCAAATAATAGTAGGACCATGTTTATCCAAAACGGTAACTTTACTTTCTGTAATCCCGACACATCAGCGAAACATGCAATAATGCAAAGAATTTTGTTGAAGAATATTGTTGTTATGATATACCATCAAAAAGATTTTAAGATAACAATGTTCCTGACATTTAATTTGTTTTAAATGCTCTATACTGGTGGGTTTGGTGAGTGAAGGCAACTTAAACTTATTTTAGCTTTGATTGTATACATTTTTATAAATAAGTAAGAAAATCATATTGACATAAATTAACCTTTATGTTTAAGCAAAACTGGAAACCCACTGTGTGTCATTACATGGAGCCTTATAACATGCAAACCAAGCCCTCTACTGTGTTCAAGAACTTGTTCTCGCTCCTTCTGAGAAAGGTTTAATCACACAATGAAACTGGAAAAGTGAAGTATCTGATTTTTGGCACCGGCCCAAATTGACATTGAGAAGTGGGTAACTGTCGCAATCAACATATGATGGATCTCTCCCATCTCTATTTTCCCCTCTATGTTTCTGTTGTTTCTGTAATGGACAATCCTGGTTAAATAATGGAGCGAGTGTGACTATGTAATGTAAAAAAGAAAAATAACCCACGTGATGCTCTTCATGGGAGAGTTTCATGTTCTGAAGCTAAGCAAGAAGAGTCTACAGGACCATTCCTGCACAGACAGACACACAACCATAGGCACATACAGGCAGTATCACCATGTATACACAAGCATATGGTCCACATGCTTACACATACAGTACACACACACACACACAAAGAAACCCACACACACACCTACCATGTTTTAACAAACTCCTGTACGTATCTCCCTTAATTGGTCGTACCTGTAGTTCACCATTTCTGTGTCATTGTTATCATGGATAGTTATTTCACTGATGGATTATATTTTGTGCATGTGTGGAGATTAGCATTATTGCTAGCACATGTGTGGGATGTGTTAAACTGTAGAAGTGTTCAGTGTGACGTGTATGTGTGTGTGTGTGTGTGTGTGTGTGTATGTTGATAGGGGCGGCAACAGCAGTAGCATCTGTCAGTACTCTGGGTGGCCTGGTGTTCCTGTTGGTAATAGGATCTTTAAGTTTAGAACAGGTGATGACTGATAAACATATGCACACAGACATACACACACACACACACACATACCCATAAATAAGTAAATATATATATTTACATGCGTACATGTAGCCTTAAGTAAATTTTACCGGGATAGACAGGATTTATGCCATGTAATGTTTATGTGTGTGTGTAGTGTGTGTCCTGCTGCTTCTGCTGCTGAAAAGGGTGAGTGGGTCTTGCAGTTTTGTTTATGCTTATTTATGTGTGCATATATACTATAGACATCAGAAGCATTCTTGTACATCTTAAAGACTCTATATTCTCATGGTTTGTTCTAGCAGGGAACAGCAACACAAGAGATTGGACAAAATAAAACAGGAACTTACCAAACTAAAACACCAAAACCATGACATATATAAGATTTCAAATGTAGTACTTAGTAATCATGTAAAACTCCTGTGATGTAAAAATATGAAAACAATACAAACAGGCTGTTGATATCCACGTGGTTCCAACTGCTGCCAGCATTAAATCAATAAAGTGAAAACACCTTAGATTTATTACCTTATGCCAAAAGATGAATAATTACACCACTATCTGTTTAGGTAATACCTGCATCCATCTGTGTTATTTGATATCAGTATGTTTGACAACAGGCTCAGAGTCAGACCACCTGGCTTGTTAAATGCGGGACTGATGTTTCTTCAGGGCATTATGTGCCATCATTCACTATACACTGGAAAAGTGGCTTGCTTAGTAGAGCAAACAAATAAAAAAAAAGAAGGAAAGCCAGTATGAAATATGACATCTAGTCTGTACCTGTTTATATTATACGTCAAATGTAACCATTAATCAAGAAAGTCATTAATCCCTCTCATTTTCTCCACACACACCTCCCTCACTTCCTCATTTCATCCCACTCTTTCTTTTTTGTCTCTCTCCATCTGTGTTTTTTCGCAGGTGGTGCTCGACCACATGAGAAGGAAATGCAAGTGCCACGGTACATCGGGGAGCTGCCAGCTGAAGACCTGCTGGCAGGTCACCCCAGAGTTCCGGGTGGTGGGCTCAATCCTCAAAGAGCGCTTCCACATTGCCACGCTGATCAAGGCCCACAACCGAAACACCGGACAGCTCGATCACTCCCACAACAACAACAACCATCACAACCACCATAACCATCACAACCATCACAACCACCACAATCACCACCACACACACCGGCGGCGGCCAAGCATCCATGAACTGGTCTACTTTGAAAAGTCACCAGATTTCTGCGAGCGGGACCTGGGGTCAGACTCAACGGGTACGCAGGGGCGGATCTGCAACAAGACCAGCCCCGGCATGGACAATTGTGAAAGTCTGTGTTGCGGGAGAGGCCATAACATCCTTCAGCAGACGCGGAGCGAACGCTGCAACTGCAAGTTTCACTGGTGCTGCTATGTGGTGTGCGAAGAGTGCAGGATAACAGAGTGGGTTAGTGTTTGTAAATGAAGAAACACACACTAAAAGACTGCACACAATAAAGAAAACAAAGACAAATAGACATTTTTAAACCAAGACTATTCATTTGAATGGCCCATACATTTTTTTGCGGTGGACTGCTGTTTTCCAGAAGAGCAACGACAGCGTGTGAAGCAGTTGAGCCGGCAGAGAGGTAGATGTGCATGTTGGTAAAGAGTGTGCACATGCAGCAAATAAAGCTGCCACAACTCAGAGAGCTTGGATATTTACTGCCTTCCTCTTGAGACATATCAGATAAATATCTGAAATATATGAAAACACCAAATATGAAATTTGGGGTCTAATCTATTGTTGTTTCATCTGCATATGTTGACTGACACACAGCTGCATGGGATTCAGGTGAGCAAAGAGGAAGTTAGAAGCAAGCAGTAGATTGCATGCAGAAAGAAAATGATATTGCTTCATAGCACCAGCAATATATAAGGTGAAAAGGCTGATGTCTGCGTCAAATGAAACTTTAAAAATGGGGGGAGACATTTGATGTGTTTTTCAAACAGATGATACATTATACAGTTGTCCCTCCATGTCCTATATGATAACTTACAGCATAAACACAGTCATGTTACATGTTACACACAATATTTGCCATTTCTTCTACTACATACAGAGACAAATATAGACTTTTCACACATCAGAAATCACAATGCACAGGATTTAAAACTGCACAACACACCTGGCCCACTTAAGGCTTTGGTGTATTGTTAGGGGCAGTTCAGAAGTTTCAAAATTTATAGTAACTATCATGTTACATCTAAAAATACATCAGGGGGTTGTTTGGCTCATCTGAAACTCTGTAGAGTCAGTCAATATTATTATGTTGTATGCATCATGTGTAACCCTGCTAACAGTGATGACACCCTTCAGTAAATACAAGCACACATTTTGGTAGAAGACTCCATTGAGAGGGCAAACTTTTATAATGAATGGTGGCCACTGCAAAGGAGGATGTTACAGCAGTGATTAATCAGAGTGGCTGAAGTAAATCAAAAGAACCATCTGATAGGCTAATTGTTGGCGCTGCTTCATGGGATTTCCTTCCCTCCAAAACAGGGTGTTGAAATAAAATCCACACAAATCAGCTTCCAATAGCGTAAGAACTAGCCCTATACACCATAAGGTTAATGTTGTGAATCCATGTGAAAATATCTGAAAACCATTGTGACAGGACAGCTGTTTTGAAATAGTGCATTACAGCCTCCCTAAAACACAGCACAGATAAGTACATCCTGAGTTATGTTATCCAAAATGTTCCATGTGTTGTCTGTGTTGTGTGTGGAATGCAATGTAAGAGGACTGTCAGAGTACAGTGCACAGTAAACCTTATTAAACAAGTGTTTTGTTACCTTCAGCATGATCTGAACAGCATTGTAAATAAAACAGAATAATGCTGCACAAGTACCATCAATACATTTAAAGTGTCTCAGGGAACTGAGCGCACATGAACAGGCTTCAATTTCTCACACTATAAACATCCTAAGCTGTCATCAATCAAATTGTTTCCTGTTTTGTGATGCAATGTACTGCGTGCAACACTGTAAGCTTCTTGTGATATAGCTACACTCACCTTCTTTACACTTCTTCGATGTGTGCAAATAGGGATATGTTGATGTCAACTTCAAAGTATATAAATAACAAAATTTGATATGGATTTCTGCCTATGCACATTTTGAAGATCATATTTGGTCTCAAGAAATGTGTTTGGTGAGGCTCCTTATCAGACAGAATAATTTATTTCAAGTTACTTTGTTGAAAGCAGAGGTAAAAAAAAAAAAGAAATCTGGAATTATGTTTTAAGTGTAACAGATTATTTTGATTATGATAAGCAGTTTGCACATCCAGAACTGTGTCCAGGAAACTCTGGGAGATATCAGCAATATGCATTTTTTTCATGTCATAAATGTAATGTATGTACGTATTTTTATGTTTTAATATGGTTATTATCTAAGTTATTTTATTTTTGTGGATAACTTAATATTTGTAAGACAATAAAGAAAAATCATAATATTGAAAGGGGCTTTAATGTAATGAATATTAATATACATGAAAGCAGTGTATTTGGTTATGAGAACAGTTTTATTTTGTCAGGAGTCAGTTGCCTTCAGCATACTAATGATGATTAATCCCTCAGTTGCTGTATGCTAGTATATTTATGGTAAGGTTGCTTCAGAGGTCATTAGTGTTCTTCCAGTTTCCATCCTATGGGATCTCATATATTCCATTAATAATGATTAAACAGAAGAAGAAAGAAAATAACAGTTTCACAATTGCGGATTACATATTTATTTGCTGATATTTTAGTCACAAAGGAATCAGGCAAGGTTTTCATAAAAACCATGAAAGTCCACTGTCAGGAACATGCTGCATTAGGTACAGCTGCAGTATGCACTTGGAATGGTCTATCATTTGATATTTTTGTCAATTTGTCAGTCTTGCTGTTTCTGATGCCTTTTGAGGGTCCGATCCAGATATTTTGCTCTGCATTTCCACAAACTTGGCAGACTCAGGTAACCCTATGGTTTATGGTATACAGTGTTTGTTAAAGGCAGCTTAAAACACTATGTTGAATAAACAACAATATTACATAATTTTTCATAATGTCTTAAAGACATATGATTCAAGCCACACGGCATGCTCTTGAGAGCCCTGTTTCAAGGCTGTATTTTTAGTTATTAAATTTAAAATGAGGCTTACTTTTGGAACAGTTCTAGTTTCACTTCGGCTCTCTGCGGCTGAAGCCCCAAGAACACTCGATTGTACATTTCCCATCATTCAACCCAATTGTGTTGTTAGAACTTATTTGGCTAGTAAATGCTCATATCTCAGACTCCACACTCTCCAAGCCCAAACCAAGATACCCCCTCAATATAGTCTTTAAAATGTAGATCTTACTTCTTTTTTTTTTAATAGTCTAAAAATATAAATAGATGGGTTTATAACTGGTTGTCACCATCTGTGTTTGGAGGATATACTGTATATTGTCTGGGTAGAACCGTTCAACTAATAAACGTGAAATCTGGAGTGGAGAAAGTATGCAGACGCTTTTATTTTTTCCACATTGAATGAAAAACAAAGCAAAGGGCCATCATTAGAATAGTTGGCCACCATATTGTAATCACAGTTATCACAGTAATTACTTTTGACTGTGCATAGTCTGAATGTTTTGTTAGGAACATTAAGATACTCTCAGACCAGATAAGACCACAAGTCTGTGGTCAAGTGTAGACCCTCCCTTACCAGTTGTTGCTTGCGTGCAGAGAGAAATCCTGTTGAGCGTCCTGACTCACTTATATATTCTGTGCCCTGAGGGAAGTGATGAAGTCACCAAGTCAAGTGTAAGAATTCAAGAGATAGATTTTCAAAGTAAACAGATGGCAGTAAAAAGGTGCTATTTCAGAGTCATGCGGTTCTATTCTTATCCAAACATACTGCTCACATTCCAGATAAAAATGAAAGCTTCCTTTGCCGCTCCAGCCTCGTCAAGCCTCTCTCTCTCTCTGTCCCCTCTGGTGCACCATCTGTATGTTGAGTTTCGCTGCGTAGTGCATCTTTTAGTGCACTGATTTAAGTGAACATGCTCTATAGCTCCCTCTCCACATTTATAAATAGTTTATGTGTGGATGTGTTCTTGTGGTGACAAAACCGTGTGTGAACTACATGTGCGTGTTTGTTGACGCAAGCATACGTGTCTCTCTTTGCGGGCAAATTCATTTAAGTGACAGGGTGTGTTGAGAAACATCCTGAGATGCCTGCTGTATTCTTACACCAGTTTCAGTGGCAACCAAGTCAAAGTTCAGCTGATCCTCTCTATTGTATAACAAGAAGTAAGCACAGAAATTAAAAACTTTTTCTGCTTTAATGATTTCATCTCACATGGAAAGAAACAAATTCCAAATGGTCATATAACTACTCAGAATCTGAACAGATATTATAATCCTTGATAAATGCTTGTTTAATATCAGATTACTCGAAAGAAAAAAAAACATTAATCTTCATGAGAATAGCTCTTGCCTGTGAAGAAATGCCAGGCCTGGACTTGTGTGCTGAGTTTATTTGAACAGTGGCTGTTATTTTGATAGAGAGCAGGTCCCAAAGTGACTTCAGGTTTGAGCTGAAACAACATTATGCTGGTGAATGAGATTTATTATGTTATGATCCCTTGGCATGAACTAGCAGGTCTGCATCACTTCTTTCATGTTTTCAAGGACAGGGTCAGGTTGGTTTTGCAATGATGCCTAAATTTACAGACACTGTGCATGTAAATAGCATGTAATGATGTGTGTCTACACTGCACAGTGAAATGGCTTTTAATACCATAGCATTAACCTGCAAATAAATCAATCTGTACGTTGAAATGTCATTACTTACCTATTTGCATTAGTGAGGAAAATACCCCAGTTTCACTGAACATTTTAATAAGTCAGTTACAGAAAACAAACTAATTAAAGGCATACATTTTGCATTTTGCAAATATGTGTGCAAGACATAGCAGGGGAGAGCATACCTCTGTCTTTCTAGCTGACTGTATGTATGTTTATAAGCATTTGTGCAGGCGAGTGTTTATACAGTACATCATTTGTAGGCACATGTGCATTTGTTTGAGTGTGTGCATGCCTTTTCGTGATTAATCTTTTGTAATACCCAACAGATCTAGGGCCTGTTGTCTGTCCCTCTTGAGGTTTAAACCTTCAGATCCTGAGCTGTATCACTGGTCACCTAAACATTGTTAGTTTAATCCCCCCCAAAACATGCAGAAACCAACCAAAAGACTACGTAGGTAGGATATTGCAGTGAATCACACCAAGCAATAAAGTGCAAAGCAAACAATTTAATAAAAAGTCATGTAGGAAGATGAAGACAAGGAGACAGACAGACAGCTAGCTGCTACAAGCTTGATGGAGGCTAAATGTTCTCTTTTCCTTTTCCCTCTGGGGTGGATTGAAAAGAACAAATATCAGGACCAGTCCCTACAAGTAAATTCAGGCAAAAGAACATTGAATAGTGCATTATAACAGTAATCCACTTATGACATGGATGCATGCCACATGTAGCAAACAGCAGCTCATCCAAACAAACAGCAGCAGTATTAATGATCAGCAGAGTCAGCTGACCATTGGTGTTTAATTTCATTATCAGCTATGTTCTATGTGTGTAGCATTAAGACAGACTACAAATTTTCATTTTGTTGTACAACTTTGTGTTGTAACGTTATCAATAAATGACCATGATCCTTGTTCTGCCTGCATTAAGGAGATAATACGTTGGTGGTTATTAAAGCTCTGTGGATGTTCTGCGGTGGATAAGGTTTTTTATCCAGTTGGAGCTAAAATATATTTTGCTCAGATATCAAGAGAATCATGCAAACAGCGCCATGATTTGTTTGTGAATCACCAAAATGCTCTTGAAAAAACTAGTCATACTGAGCTGCCCAGAGTAGTATCAAGCCGAATTGTTTAGTAGCAAAGCAATATTCGTTGGTGCGGTTTCTGTTGCATTGCTTATTCCTAATAGATTGCTCATGAGCAGTCACTCAAAATTGAAAAGGGATTGCTTAAAATGCATGTTACGGTATAGTGTAGAAGCATTGCAGTCCCTGACTTTCATTTCACTTCAGCCAAGATGGCCTTTTTGAGGATAGATCAGAGAAGGCCACACAAGTAATTAGCTGAAGCAGACCAGCCCTGTGAGGTTAAATCAGTTCTAAG